TTATAGGAAAAGCACTAGGGAAGCAGGTGGGTTTCACAGGGAGCCCCCCCACCACGCCTTGCCCCCTCCCACTCCTCTAATTAAGGCCAGATCCCACATTTAAGGCAATTAGCAGCTGATGGGATTCCTGGAGAAACCGTGGAAGGAGGAGATGAAGCAGAGCTCCCCCTCAGAACCGAGAAACGCTTTGGATGACAGACAGACACGGAGACAGGCGCCGTCAGTACATTTGATGTTTAATTTGGACGTTGATCGCTCCACAAAGGGCTCCCCAGCGAACACCCCCCCTTCGGCAGCCAGCGCAGTCAAAGAGAAACATCGCAACATCTTCCACAACCAAATGCCCCATTTCTTACCTTTGCCCCCAGATCCCCTCCCCGGTCAGTTCCCTCTCACCTCCCCACGACATACGGAACATCTCTTCTCAGCTCACCGAACGAGTCAAAGAAAAAGAAAACCAAAGCGAAGGCTTCAGAGGAGGGGAGCTCTGAACACTGACGGCCCCTGAAAACCTCTCGGCTCCAGAACCTGCTCTGCACCCACCACACACATCTCACAGGGCGGCATCACCCCAGCAGTTTTGGATTTCAGCTGAAATTGGCTTCAGCACGGTGGGAAGGAGGCAGGCAGAGAGCAGGATGCTCCTTCCCCACCCTTCTCACAACATATCAAGTCTTAAAAGAAAAACTTCAGCGGCTTTGGGGTAGTTACACAAATTAAACCACCCCAGGACCCTTCCTGACCCAGCTTCTGAAAACAACCACAGCGTTAATGCAGCTAAAGCACGCCAGAAACCCCAGTGTCACGCTAGCACCAACAGCCCCGGGGAGCACAAGGCGACCATCACCGGTATTGCACACACCCAGCTCCGGAGGGCTGCGAGGAGCCTTCGGAGCCGGGTCCCTGCGCCCACACAGCACCTGGGAGGAGGATTCATCCCCACGCTTGGTCACAGCACAGCAGCACCACTGGCTCTTGCCTCTACAACCAGGACGTCTCCCAGCACTGCCCACAAGGAACCACCTCACCCCACCACCGAAGGGGCCGAGCTTCTCTGAGGAGGAGAAGAACAAAGGAGGAATCCTCTTCCCAACTGCTCTGCTCGCAGCTGCTCTCCCTTCGCACCTCAAACCGCTCTCCCGCTTGCCTTCACGCTACTCTACAAACCCACCCACGATGGCCAAGACAATAGCACGTGCTTCCTCCATCCCCGGGGGACTCCTGCCAGGTCCCCCCCTTCTCCCGTAAGCAGGCCTCTCTCCATTTGTGCTGGGGAAAAGGATTCATCCGCGGCAAACAGCACGCCCGAGGCGGGGGCTCTCCGCATCATCTCCTGAGACCAGCCCGGCCGCTTCTCCCATCACACAAGATCCCAACTTATAGGAATGGGCTCACCGAGACCTGAATACTTCCTTGTTAAGGCTTAAACTAGCAATTCCGCGGCTGCAATGAACCAGACAGACATGCTGCCGAAAGGAAGAAAGTCAGCTAAAAAGAAGAAAACCCAAAGCACCTCGGCGCTCAGCACGCGGAGGCTTCGCTTTCCTCTCCCAGGCGGCAAACCCATCCTCACCCCAATGCATGACACAAGCCTGCTTTAAGGGGGATCTTCTTTAAAACAGCCAGAAAAACACAAACTAACCTCTCACAAAAGCCCCGCAGGTGGGACTGTCACATTAAATATATAACCAAGGCCAACTTTTAAAATGTCTTTTAAAAAAAAGGAAACCACACGCGCATACACACACACTTTGGCACACAAGCCTTAAGTTATATCACTTGAAACATTTCAAAGTCAGCAGAGAGCTACTGGGGTTTTTTCTTTTTTTTTTGTCTTTTTTTTTTTTTTGCCTTGTAAAAAGATATCAAGCAGTGGTGTTGGTGAAGCATGAAGAGCGAGTACAAATGCTGAACAGTCCCAAAGCTGTTCCTGCGACGCTGCTCAACACTTGCACTCCGATTACCTTCCCAAAGCGGCAAGCTGGTTACATACACAGATATAAAAACTAACGCAGACATTTCTGGTTTTCAATGTGAAAACGGTAAAATGTAATCGAGTATTTGTGCATTTGCCATAGGGTCCTTGGGAAAAGGAACCATAAAAATACTTATTTTTTCATTAAAAGTCTTTTTTTTGTCTTTTTTTTTTTCTTTTTTTACCCTTAACTTAAGTAAAGAGCAAATATACACCTATAAGCAGAGTTCAGATCCACTTTACTGAGAGCCTGGAAGTCCGTACATCAAATTAATTCCCAGTGGCATATCCAGACACCGGAACAGCTCCCAGCTCCAAAGGGCCGGCGTTCCTGAAAGATCTGCAGCTCCGGCTAACCTCATTAGCCGTCACGAAGCAAAGACTCATTCAAGCCTCATCTGTCTCAGCCAACACTCCCCCAACAGACTCTGCAGCCGAGCAGCCCTCTGCCAAGCAGAGCCTCACGCACAGGACCCAGCTCTGGGAGCATCAGAGCTGGCAATCTGGGCAACAAACCCAGGTCCTGGCGATCTCAACCCATACCAGGCTGTAACAATGAAAATATAAGCACCAAGCTTCTACTTTCTTTATACTCAGAGGACAGACCACTGATACCAGCTACTGAGAAACAGCTTCCAGAGGAGAGCTGGGAGGAATTTCAGTGACAGAGAAACTAGCTGTGCAATAAGAAAGTGCATTGAAAGGTAGCTTAAAACCAGATTAAAGATCAAATCGCCACTCGACAGGAGGGAGAATCAAGCTCCGGCAGCCACGCTCCTTGGGCTGGGTGGGTTAACGTTCAGGCTCTCTCTCGCGAGTCCGAGGGGCAGGAGAGAAGCGTGCATTCCCATGCTCCGACAGGGACACAGTTCTCCTGGCAGGCCATGCTCTCCTGCCCGGTTTGCTTCTGTGCGGTATCAGTTCTGGACAGCTGTCATCGGAATTCGTAGATAGGAGCGCTGTGCTCGGGAACGTGAGTTAAATTCAGTGACTGATACCTGGGAGAGAGAGAAAAGACAGACAAGAGGATTACACAGAGCAACAGAACTCCCCTGGCACTAACAGCTCCTGCTCGGCAGGCCCCAGAGCAGACATCCTGGTGGCTGGCTCTTCTTGTCCCCTTTACAGTCAGAGTCAAGTCTCCGAGGTCTTCAGGCACCCAACACCCACTCACCCATGGTGCCAAGACCCCATGAGGACTCTGCATCGTTCCTCATTTCCATTGCCATGCCTCTGAGCTACCCGCAGCCAGGCTGTGTTCGAGGTGGGCTGTGCTTTCAGGACACCTTTTCAAGTTCAACAACTTTCATGTTCAAACAGTGTTTGCTACAACTGCAAATTACACTCGGGTCTTTCAAATCTTAGCTCGAGAGGATTTGTCTGAAAGCCTCCCAGGTACCCTCCTGTCTCATGAGAGCTTCCAGCCACCCCACGGATTCACCCGCCGTGCGTGACAAATATCCAAGGCTGTCAGAGGGAAGAGAGCTCCCCACAGCTCCTTGTCACATGGCTTTAACAAGAAACCACCAATTAACTCTGACTGTTCCCCGTGTCTTACAGCAACACCCCAAGGACTGTGGACTACAAAGCACCAGCCTAACAAGATTTCAGCGTGAAGGAAGCAACAGCCAAGCTGCTCTACATGAGAAAGCACCGAGGAAGGCCTTTCCGACATCCTCTGAAGCACCAAGGCATGTTGAAGCTCAAAGCTTGAATCACTGAGCAAAGCACAAGCCTGCAGACCAGGCCAGGCTGCCTCGCACTTGCCTGGCCCCAGGGGAGAGCAGGAGCAGCCCTGCGAGTGCTTGGACTGGAGATCAGGCTGCTGCAGGGATGATTTCAGTGAACCACAGCTGGTGTCTGCCTCCCAATGTACCTCACAGATGCTTCACCAGGCCACAGCACATCTTCAGACCTTGTATCAGCCCTGCCCCAGCCTGATTATTCCCGGCCCCCCGTGCACAAAGGGCAGCACTTCACACTGCACTCGCCCATTCTGGCCAAGCACAGCACACACACCCTCCCTTCTGCCCCAGGACCCGGCCACCAGACTGAACCTCCTTCCCAGCCCACAGAAGCAACACCTGGACATTCCCAGGCTGCAGAGGAGCAGAAGAGGAGTCACTGCTGGGTTTGAGGAGCCACCCTTCAGTCCACAAGAAGAAGGAAGCTTCCTTACCATTCTGAACTCCTATGGTAGTAATAGCCCTCTATAGACGCTGCTGACTTCTGGAAGCAGATGTAATAGAAACCAGCAAAGGAAGCACCGCTGATGTCTTTGATAGTGTGATCTGGGACTAGGAACTGTTCCTGCACACAAAACACAGACCGTATTTTAAAATTCCAGCCCAATACTAGCCCCCACCACCCTCACTCTGCCCTCCCAAACTGAATATCGGCACCCGTAACACAAAGGCACTCCTGGCTGAGCATTCCCTGTGCTCGCAGCAGCCCAGACCCCAGAGACCAGCGTGTTCTCTCACCACGGGCCACTGCAGGCATCTTACAGGGAAGGAGACAACTGAGAACAGAACCAGTTTTAAAGAGTGCACAAGATCACTTTTAGTTCAACGCCTGCCCACTGCAAACCAGAAGCCAACTGCAAAATCAGGAATCGGAGCTGCCTGGTGATGAAGAGAAGGCTCTGAGGAGACTTTATTGCAGCCTTTCAATACTTACAGGGGGTTATAAGGAAGATGGAGAGAGACTTTTTACCAGGACCTGTAGTGATAGGATGAGGGGTAACGGTTTTAAACTAAAAGAGGGTAGTTTTAGATTAAATTAAAGGTAGAAATTATTTACAATGAGGGTGGTGAGACACTGGCCCAGGTTGCCCAGAGATGCTGTGGATGCCCTGTCCCTAGAGGGGTTCAAGGCCAGGCTGGTCAGGGCTCTAAGCAATGGGAAGATGTTCCTGCCCATGGCAGGGGAGGGGCATGTACTTGATCTTTAAAGGTCCCTTCCAACCCAAATCTTTCTGCAGTTCTGTGACTTCCTCCAACCACAGCTGCACAAAGCTTGTGTAAAGAGGGAGGAACTGATCCAGCTGAAAAGCAGCAAGATGCAGACTGGCCAGTCTGCATCACACAGGCCCCGTACAGGGACTGAAGACACTCATTCTCTCATCCTCTAGAGCATCACCAAGCAAGATTTTCCTGTTGTGTTTTTAGCTGTGACTGCAGCCCTTAAGGATGCCATTAGCTGGCTAGACAGAAGTCACACTGGAATTTGCAAGTACAGTGGGTTAATGAGCTTGGTAGGGTCAGATCTTTCATTAAACCAGCAGAGCTGAAAAAGCTTTCAGGCACCACAAGCCTCTGTCAGTCACTTGTAAGCAGCTCATCAGAGAAGGAGACGTGCAGAGTTTACCTTCCATCTCATGAAGACATAGTCCCCATTTTTCAGATCCTCATAATCAAAGTCATCGGAGTTAAATGTTTTTGCATACTGGTAAAAAGCCTGGAACTTCCCCTGAAACAAAAAAGAAAAGAAAATAAAAAAGGATGCTTATTCCAGGAGTAGAGCTCACTACTGCCAGCTGCTACTGAGGAGGGAAGAACTGCTGTGAAACAGGACAGACATTGCCAGACATCCACAACCATATCCAGCCCAGCTGGAGAAGCTCCTACACTTCCAGAGGAAGATATTTTGACAGAAACATAATAAACATCAAAGCCCGGCAAACAACAGCAAAGGTCAAGGTGTGGAGGCAATCAGCTGGCTGCTGTGGCCCTGATCCAGAGCACGGCAGCAGCCACACCCCATCCCAAGCACAGGGCTGAGGTGACTGGTGGCATGGCTGAGACATGGGTCCCGACTGCCCCGCCTGTGCCAGAGGGGTACTTCTGCCCTTCTCCACTCCATTTTGGGATAAGCCTTCAAAACAAGGAGTGGGCTCAGGAGATGAGGACTGCGCCTGCTCCCTTCCAACTCCAGGGCCAGCAAGCGGAAAGCAAGACACTCTCTCCCCTCACCTGGATCACAGCCAACAGCCTGCTGAAGGGACCTCTAGTTGCAAAGATCCCAAGGCGGGGGGGGGAAGAGTTAAATACCCGAAACCCAGAAGTTTCCAGGTCTTTCTGGCAGCTCTTGCACGGGCATGCCTCACCTCCAAATCAGCTGCTCAGCCAGGACTGCATCAGACCCACATCTGCACCCCAGCATTATTTACCCAGTGTTTACGATCCACATCTTCATCAGCATCCCACTTGCGCGTTAAGAAAGGGTGCTTTTTACTGATTATTTCCCCTTCAAAGAAAGTGGTGAGGGTTGGGTATTCCTAGGAGAGAAGAGAGATGAACGAGAGGTCAGAAGATTTGTCACCTTGAGACAGAAACTCAAACGCAGATAAAGGTGCAGCTACTCAGCAAAAAGCAGCACCTCACAGCAGGAGCTCCGGGCAATCTGAGGCCAGTGCTCCCCATCCCTCCAAGCAGCACGCTGACTCCTCCTACCCCACACCTCTCACAGTCTGACTCATCCCCACACACAGCCTCCACCCTCTTATTCCAGCCTCTCTAGTCACTTCACGAACCCAGGAGCTGGGCTGTGGGGAAGCTCTCAGCTGGACCATCCCAAGGGACCGTTTACAGCCAGCACCGCTCCCCAGCAGACACCCGGAGGCTGCTGCATGACGGTACAAAGCCCATGGGCTGGATTAAGCCACGCCACTGGAGGAGAAGGTGCTTCTCTTCAGCTTTGGCACTGAATTAGGAGAACACAGGCAGGGAACAGCAGGCTCAGCTGGGGCAAGCAAGCTTCTCCAAGTGCTCCCATGTAACGACAGACACATGGTGCACTGCAGCCAAAGGACGCATCACCTCCAGAGACAGTTCTCACCGAGTGTCCAACAAACCACGAGCAGATCTCAGATGGACAGGGAAGGAAGTATGTAAAGATCTGAGTGTTCAGGTCCTGGTTTATTTTCCTTCAGCAACACACCAGCACTGGCAGAGTGCCTGAAGCTGACTGCAGGGTCAGATTCGGTTCTGCTCAGACCTTAAGGGATGCCAGAGAAGCTTCCCTTGCCCAGCACTCCCATCAAGGTCTGTTGGATTTGCTTGCCATGCCAAGAACAGCAGACTGAAGCTACTAAACTACTTCATGGTCAAATTTACTGTATGCTCAATCCCTCTACTTCCTATTTCTGGTGGCAGCTTCTCCCAGCCCACCAGGAAAAAGAAAAGCCTTTACACAGCACCTCTTCTTGTTGTTTTGCAGTTAACACTCACCTCTGTAAGGCCTTTAATCTTCAAGTATCCACAGAGATAGGAGTTTTCCATATCCACATGCTAGAAAAGAGAGCAAAGTCCAACCATAAGCATAGCCATGAGGGCACCCAATTGATCCAAAGCAGTTTCTAACCTCTCCAAGGCTAATTTCAGGTTCAACTGGTACAGACTGTCCAGCCTGCTGCCCAACACTCCCACTGGCAGCCCTTCCCCACAGCTGGGAACCACTCAGAAAGATTATTTACAGGTGCCCAGCTCAGCTCTGACAGCCTCCACATCCCAGGCCTGACAACACCCTCTGCCCAGAAGTCTCCGATGGGAAGCAACCCCCCCACTCTCCACCCAGAAGGAAGCAGACTCACAGTCTGGGCAGAACCACCCATACCCCCAGACCCCACACTTCCCAGTCAACCACCACCAGCAAATGGCACTCAGGTGAGAGAGGAGGAAAAAGCATCTATTTACTGGAGATAATCCAGGCTGGAGGAAGGAAGCGTTGCCCTGAGCTTTGCCGTCTGTTTGCTGAGCAGCCCTGCCCCACGCCTCTCTAACAGACTGCCCACACTCTCCGCCTCGTACCCGGCCCGGCAGCACGGTGCACGCCAAAGCCTGCTCAGAAGCCAGACAATGTCTCACTCGTTTTGAAAGAGGCCTTTCTCCCAGATCTAGCGCTTTTGTGCCACCCTTCTGAGTTACGGGCTGCATCTCTCTTCTCCTGCTACGCAGAAGCGAAGCAGGGGGGCTGCGTCTGTTCCAAGCACCTTTCAAGCCAGGGGATTTTCCAAGCTTTCCCCCTGACATCTCCAGATCAGTTTTCAAAGCAAGAAGCGAGTTATTTGGGGAAGTGCAAACATCAACTGTAAGAAGATGGATCTTCCCCACCTGTGATCAAAGAAAAGAAAGAAAAGCGCCGTTTCTCTGCGCTCAGCACAGAGAGAGCAGGCAGCCACCTCTTCTCAGCTGACAGGCACACAACAGCAGCATTTTTAGCACAAAGCCACAGTCAGCCCCTGCGAGGAGGCGGCGTGCAGTGAAGCTGATCAGCCATGGGATGTCCCCACCACAGCAAACCCGACCAGGTACGCTTGTGCTGGTGACAAGGGGAGGACCGAGCGTGAAAACAGACGGTCGGGTTCAAACGCTAGCCCATCTGCTGACCCTGGGGCTCTGACACCACCCCACAATGCTGGCACACGTGTCAAAGCTTCACCACTGCGCTCACTGCATGCTCAACCACAGTTCCCCTGATCCCGTGCCACCAAACCGGGAACAAAGCTGTGACTCGCAGGGTGCTCTATAAGAAAGTGTGTATCAGATGTCGGGCTTGCCCGCATCCTAATGACTCCACACCTCGCCAGCTCTGCCCAAAGCCATCCTGTCAATGTGTAGGACTAAAAATAAAGCACAAGAGGGTGACAATGACTGCGGGGAGGAACGGGAAAGCCACACGAGCCAGCATCCCGAACACCCAGCACAGCT